AAGCCACACAACAGTGTGGTGCATCTTAGAAGCAGTAACCACCGTATAAAAAGGCCTGAATAGATTAGGACAAAGCTCAGGGTTATTTTTTCCCATCAGCTGTTAGAGAAAACTAAATATCCATTCCTGCCACTGGCTGGGCAAAGCTAGGAAAAATGCACTTCAGACCACAGGGAGGGGTGTGTGTGTGTATGTGTGTGTGAGAGAGAACTGAACACTGGTGAGCCGGGCTGCTGGAACAATTTATACAGTGGGGGTGCTGAGAGTCATTGAACCAAACTGTAAACCGTGTATATGATGGAAATCACTTCAAGCCAGGGGGTGCAGCAGCACCCCTAGTTCCAGCACCTATGTGGGGAGCCACTCAATATAGAAGACCTGTATGTCCCAGCCATTCCTGCCACCAGTTACGCTATGTCTTCATTGCAAAGAAAGGTGTTTTTACATCGAGAGAGCTAACAAGATAGCTCTCTCGATGTAAAATCCTGTTGGAGACAAGGCACTGCAGTTTTTAACCTTGGTAGGTAGTTGAGGCTAGGATTTCTTGGCTATAGCTAGCTCTCTCCGTGTAAAAACACACATCTTTTTTGCAGTGAAGACAAAAAAGTGAGAGAGACAAAGTTAAAGTGACAACTGGAGTGTCATGCCGTGCATTTGGATGTCAAATGCTCTTGTTCTGATCTGGCAGCGGGTTACTCCCAGTTAGCCCAGGTGTAAATGACACGCTCCTAGGCAGTAAAGAACCACCAGATTCACACACATGGGGAGAACAGATTCCAAAGCTACAGAATAAATATATGGTGCAAAACCAAGGTGGCAGTGAGCTGAATTTAAAGTCTGTTACAAGCTATAATGCCATCCCCTAAGAAGTGGGCCAGCTTTGTGGTGCAGGAAGTAATTTTTCAGGGCACTCACTTTAATTACAAGGTGAATTCTCAATCCATGAGGACATAACATGACCATAGTTTAGTGGCTGCTACCATACTCCCCTGACAAATACCATGATGCTTTAAAGTTTCAATAGTTCCACTATCTATCTCCAGGTGAAGGGAAACATCAGCTGACACACCCCATTCCTTCCAAGAACAAAAAAGCGAAGATCAGCATGTTCATGCAAAACCTTTATTTGGAGAATGTCTATTGACCAACAGCGCCACCTGACTTACATAGTAGCATGGAAACATAGTGTTTACATTGTGCAGAAAAATACAAAGAAGTCCTTAAAGACATTCATCCTGTGATATTATAAAACTATTTTTGTAGTTGCTTACCCCTGTTTCCTCCCTTTATCCCTCTGAATCCCCTCTTGGCCTATCTAGAGCAATGGCAATGACTTATTGTTGGCAACGGAGATGACCCACATGTTGAAGCTCTCTCTAGAAATACTTCCCGTTTTACGTAAAGACCCACACATGCACACTGATGCATATTGTCTGTATTTTACATCTTCTTGTTTTCTGCCCAGTTTAGGAATTACTTGTGGAATGTTTCTGGTTATTTTTTCAACCAGTCGAGAGTTGGACAGCTAGGCTTTCTACTGTCTAGGGTGGAATGTTCCTCATTTATTATATAATCTTTATGTTCCTGAGTTTCCCCTGGATGGGAAATTTCATTTTTTTTTATTTCTTCTCTCTGTTCTGTGCTGGTCACTTCAGACTTTGTGTTCTTTCCCCCCCTCTCCCTGCACTGTAGCACTGGGAGGCGTGTGCAAACAGTTGGCAGCATGGGTGGTAGTGAGCATTGTGGATTTTGGTTTTAATAGGGACATCAGGATTCATCTTTTTCTATGTTTCAAACAATTTATTTTAAATAGTGATTAGGATAAACAGCTTTGATTTACTCCCACACTCAGGCTTCTGGTGAATATTTTCATGTGAGTTGGAAATAAGAGTATTAAATTGCAAATAATGTTCTAGCATTTCAACCTCCCTAACAGTGTTCTAATGGCTTCAGCAATGTAGCCATTGTCTGTGGGTTTGCAGGCATGAGCCTGTAAACTCGCACCCTTTGGAGTAATCCCAATTAAATCAGTGGGGCTCCTCACGTGAGTAAAGCGTATGCCAATTAATAAGGGCTGCTATATCATGACCCTGGTGTCTATATAACCAAATTATGGAGAGCAGTTGAGCCCAACATAGAAGAAACCAACTGTTGCAGAAACAATCAGTTTATGGACCATGATCCACAGACAATTTACCAATTCTCTCCATTCCATTTAACATAGCTTATGCTGCAGTTTAGCTCATGCCTCCACTTGCCTCTTTGGTCTAATGGGTCTCATCAAGGAAAGAGTCTGTTTCCAATTATACCAGCTTAACCTGGGAGATCTGAGCTGCAGCAGCCAGCGTACAGTTGAAGGATCTTCTGCTATTCACAAGTAGTAATGCAAAATAACTTTACCTTCTTCCTGCCCTCCACACTCACCCTCTTTCTCCCCTCCCCCTACACCTGGTATGGAGGAGTTCAGTCCTACTCCTAATGAAAGCAAAGGGTAGCAAAAGTTAAATTTCTATTCCCAGCATAAGTGCCAGCACTAGAAACCCCTCAGTCAGCAGGCTGCATAGGCTTCCAAGGCAGCGGAACACTGACCATATATATTATCGTCAACGTATCACATTGAAGAAGCAAAAGCCTTTTTATTAAATTCAGATATTTATATATAAACAAGCCTGCCGGACTGGAGGTTTTCAGATAGGCACAAACTTGACACATTATTTGTATTACTTGTAAATTTTAAACAATCACTTTTTTTTCCAAGGTTGGTTGGGTGCTGTAGTGTATGAAGCACTGTACTTACCTCTAATGACTCTGCACTACTTGGAAGTCTCCCCACTGGATCTAAATTGAGGGAGCTTGGTGGCCCTGTATAGGATACGGGTGTCTGACTCACAGACTACCCCGCTGGTACAATCTACCTTGATTTTTGCTTTGAATGACCTGAGCTTGTGAAGGCTAAATTATGGTATTTGTTACTCCTAGAAAGGTTGTTCCGAGTTAATTTAATGGCTGGGTGAGCCAATACATGGCTGGGCATTTCAATTGCCAGATTTCTTTGGCCATTAACAGACTTTTTCCAGACAGACTCCAATTACTTCAAGGGGACCTAAGCACATACTTTCCTAAATCAAGGCCACACTCTCCTGTCCCTAACTCCTCCCCCTCGGCAAGGTCTGGAACCTGCGCTAGAAAAGCAGTGATTCTTTAAAGGAAAATGTAAACCGCAAATTAACCCCAGTCCTGCAGAAGGATGGATCTGTGCGAGTGAGTGCTTAGGCCTGCAGACAATCCCATTGGCTTCCACAGAACAACATGTGGAAATAGAGGGTCTGCCCACTGCATAGGCTAGGAACCAGTGTGACTCCCCATTGTTTGTGGTTGTCAAGGGACTGAACAATACAGAGAAGCCTGGAAAGGAGCTGCGGAAGCTCACTACTTACTCTTCTTCCCCTGACAGAAGAAAAGTGTCTGGGGACTTGGGGCTCTCACCTCCTTCCTGAAGGTGGAGTCATTGCACTGGCAGTGGCAATAACATGACCAGATTTAGAAAGGAGCATGGCGATGGGTAAGCCTTATGGATACAGATATTTCACACGTAGAGCTGGAGAAAGTCTGCAAGATTCAGTTCAATAAATTATACAATCACATTTTCTTTGAATATGTAACAAACTTTTAAAAATTCCATGAAGTTCCTGTGTAACTGAATCATGTGTTACAGATAAGAAATTCTTGCTGCCAAAGCACAGTATGTGTTTTTGGTCTGTTTTTGCCAACTCACAGACCACCCAAAAATTTATATTTCAGGAATTTGAAATGTTTAAAAGATAAGGTGGTTCTACAAAACACGAATAGCTAGTAACGAAGCCCTTGAAATTCATGGATAAATTGTCAAAAGAATGTCAGCAAACAACAACACTTTAAAAAAACCCACAGAAGTGGACATAAAGGCTTTAAAAACACATAAACATTGTGCAGGTTAATTCAGTATTAAATACAGCAGAATGTACAGGCCTTTTTATATACTCTTTAATTTTTGTTTAAAAAGCCATATATTTGAATGTCACAAAGAAGCAGTCCAAATCTATCCACCCCCCCGTGATGCCCATTGGCTCCAAGGATGAATTTGACCCAGATTTATTTATTTTCATACACTAGCCTAATTCAAAACCAAACCGCATAAAAATGTTTAACAAACAAACCCAGGTACTTTATCAGAGCTGCTCACAGACACCGAGACGGGGCTCCAAACCCACTTTTTGGTAATTACAGTCAGTGGAATGTTATGGCAGCAATACCAGCACGGATGGTTCTCAGCTGTGTTCTCTAAAGAGTTGCTCCAAAAAGAACAATCCAACAGTTGAGTGGAAAATTGTAGAAATGAACCCTGTACTCCACACACATACATATACACTGATTGTTCTTTTCACAACAAAAGAAAGTGGCAGTACTGGATATGAGGCCATATGGAACGTGCATTAAGATACATAAGTGACTCCTCCTTGGTCTGTCTTCTGTCAAAAGAATTATTCTTCTTAAAATATAATAATAATAATAATAATACTTCTTTATACTGGCCACTTAACAATTGTTTACATCGTAGAAAAATAGACAGTATTCTGTAACAAGAAATATAGTTAACTTTGTTAAAATGGGCTATTTTAAACCAGCAATTATTGTGTCATATAAAGAATTTCTAAACAGCAAAACACAAATAGATAACGCTGAGTGCAAAACAGCCAGTGGTATTGTTTGCATTGGTTCAAAACATTTAGTTGCCAGCTACTGTAATTACATGTTCTGTACACTCTATTACAAAAGTCTTGATCTTTTAGGAGCTTTGGGGAGTTTGCTTTTATTTTCTCTACATGTGGCAAATAAGTATTTAATCAAAATGAATTCAAACTGTGGAAGTCCAAACTGATTTCACAATAAATCAATATTCATTCGCCTTGTCTTGCATTCATTCCAAAGCATCCCTCCCACCCCCCCTCCACACACACACACACACACACACACACACACACAGAGTGCAGCAGCACTCATGACTCATGTCTTATGGCCAAAGATTCCTCAACTTATGCAGAGTTTGGGCTTTAGAGATTCAGAAGTTTAGCTTATAAATTCACATTCCTTTAAAATCATTTTACTAATCTCCTGTGTTTAAATGTACACAGAAGAATAAGCTCCAAAGCCTAGTCTCACTGAATTTACCATCCCAGCTGAAGACTGTTAAACATCGTTTAGATAAAACCTCTTTGCCAAGTGTAGGCATTAAGTCTTAATGCTACAAAACCAGATGGTATCCAAGTAAGAGTCAGAGTTTTCTGTGATCTCCGCAAAGCAGATATGTGTGAATAACTAATTTCCTACTGGCAGTGGTAAAGGCTTTATCAGAATATCATAAAACACCACAAATGGAGGCAATTTCCAAGTGTTAAAACACAGAGCAAAATCAGCAAAACATTCTTAGGAGAGCAGACATCTCTAGATTCTCATCTGTGTTCAGCTCACACCCTTTCAACCCTGGAGGGATCGTACAGATCTGAAAAATGCAAGACAGGAAAACCATGAGTGATGGGTTCTGAAATCTACTCAAGTTTAGTACATGCAGCTGGCAAGAGAAACAAGACACTGTTTTCTTAATTCAGAAGTACAGAAAAACCCTCGCAAACACACTATTCTTTTACAAAAAGTCCATTTAAAAATTGAATAATGAACTTGCAATTATTCTTTTTTTACACTGCGTGGGAGAATTCAGTGCTGGTGCTGGACTGAGAGCCCTGGAGATGAAAGTTCTTGACTAGAGCCTGATTCCTGTCCCATTAGCCCTGATTCTGATCTCACTTACACTAGTGTGATTTGGGAGGAACTCCTCTGAAGTCAGTGGAGCTACACCAGTGTAGAACTTGTAGAGATGAGATAAGGATCAGACCCACCAACTGGAAAAGGAGTTTGAATTGAGTGGGGCCAGGGCTTGGCCCCGAAGGGTGTGTCTATACTGCAGCTGGGAGCGAACCTGCCAGCCCAGGTGGACAGACTCCGCTAGCAGGGCTCACACTAGCGCACTACATATAGCGGTATGAACATTGCTGCACCAGAGGTGGCTTGGGCTGGCCACCTGAACTTGGACCCAGGGGATAGGGTGACCTCGAGCTCGGGTGGGCCCAAGCCTCCTCCAGTGCCACAACGGCCACACTGCTATTTTTAGCCTGCTAGTGCGAGTTTGTCTGCCCCAGCTGGGAGGCTTGCTCTGAGCTACGGCACAGACGTAACTTAATACTGCAGAGCAAAGCAGGGGCAGTGTACACCTCCCGGCAACGTGTCTCCACCCGCACCCAGATGACCATTTTACAAGGTGGGGATACAGTTCGGTCTTCATTTTTCAGCACTCAGTGTCTCCTGTACTCGGCAGAATAATTTATTTGCTTTAAACGCTGGTACTGCAAAGAGAAGCTGTGTTACATCACTGTGGCCCGGCTGTCTTCCGCCAGCATGCAAAACTCCAGGCCACTGTTTTCAGAGTTATTTTGTGCGGACAGGGGCTAGACAAAAGATGTGATTATTATTAAAGAAAATCAACCCTATGCTTTGGTGAATGCAACAAGTAAACAAATAGCATCGTCACCAGATTATATCCATTTTTCTAGCTAAAAATACACAAAAGCTGGTCTATTATATTTTCAATGGGTTTCAAACTGAAGTTCTTACTCAGGTTCTGATCACGTAAGGGCTTGTCTACACTGCGACTTTGTCGCCAAAACTTTTGTCTTTCGCAGGGGGGCTTTTTTAAGTACCCGCCAAAGACAAAAGTTTTGCCGACGCAAGCAATAGTGTGAACGCGGCTTTGTCGGCAGGAGCGCTCGCCTGCTGACAGCTTATGCCGCTCGCGGAGCTGGAAGTATTTTGCCAACAAAATACCGATAGAGAGTTCACACACGCTGACTTTTAGCAACAGCCTTGTCGCTAAAAGCTGCGTAGTGTAGACAAGCCCTTTTACATGCAAGCAAATATCTGCATCCTCCCATGCATATCAGCTTGCAGTCCTGAGGTGGGACTGCACTGAAAGTCAGTGGGATGTGTACATCTAAATCACTTAGGTCCTTGAAAACCACACCCATACTCTGTGGTCGTATAACTCCCCCACTGCAGTGCCTGATCCCACAAACACTGGTGCATGTGAGTAACTTTACTCGTGTGTGTACAGGAATGACTATGCAGATTTACTCATATGCACAAGTGCTTGCAGAATCAAGGCCTAAATCAATAGAAAGTTTTCCCAAGTAAGAACTTCTGGATTTGACCCCATGTAAAGATTATAAGAATAAACATTCGTTGCAGCGGACAGATTGGTGTCATATCATTTTGTCTCCTCTCTTGCCACTCTCTTCCTCCCTCCCTGCAGTATTTACAGGGCAATCAATAAAGGAAACCTTGTCAGCAACTGATATATTTTAGAAAATGTGTCATTCACCTTCTTCTGACAGTGTCCAAACATTTTTATTAACAGACAACATGGATCAAAGTCAATAGACGAATACTGTTAGAACTGCTGTAGTCTAAAAGACATTGATGCATGCATCTAAGCCCTACGGATCAATTGTGTGGAAAGAACCCGTGAGGTATGGGCACTTTTCCCCATGTAATTTTTTTCACCATTTATATACACCTAGCCTTCTGGTTGGTAGGAACTACGCTTTGTAGGAGGAGATTAAGACAAAACTAGAAAGGAATTCACGTTCTTGAATCATGGCTCTCCCTTAAGGCCAGAGGTGCTGAACACTTGCTACTCCCATCAACTCCCAAGAGAGCTGCAAGTGCGCAGGCCTGTGAAAATCAGGGCACAGAATGGTGGAAGCTCCCCCAGTCTGAACACTATTTATTCTCTGAAAAGTTACTCACATTTTCAGCCATCTGAACTGAAGCCAAATGAATTAGGGCAAGATTCTGCCTGGTGCATGAAGAGGCAGCAAAAGGACTGGGTTGTGGCTGGACCCTCCAGGGAGAATTCTGGCTTTGTCATACAGCTGGCAGGCAGGCTGGGGGAGTAGATGCTAGAGTAGTAGGTCTGCTACCCTGGGATGGTGCAGCATGCTCCCCCTCAGCACCCAGCCAGTGCAGTGCATGGGACTGTTTTACTCTGCCCACAGACAGCTAACAACCATGGAGGGCATTAACAGGGAACAGGCACTTCACTTCCCAGTGGAATCCTGGCTGGTCCCTGTCCAGAGCTTCTTCCACCCTCCCCATTGTAAACCTATGCAGGAATTGAACAGACTGTGGTCCTTGAGTTGTAGGTTTGTAAATGTCCAAATTTTCATCAAATTTGGGTGCAGACTATCACTGTCTTGCTTTCTCCGCTCCTAGGAGCCTATTCATGCATGACAGAGACTGATGTGCCCAACAGGCTCTGAGCACACTCAACCAAATTCACGGTTGTGGGTGGGGTTACACCAGGGATGAAATGAGCTGGTTGAATGTTTTATTTCATGAGACAGGCTCATGTAATCTAAGCCAGTTTGTACTATTGCCCTCCTGCTTACTACTTAGGAATACACTGCACTTCAATAGCCCCTTCCATCAGATGGATCTCAAAGCACTCACCACCATTAGGGAATAAAGCCAGATCTCCTTTGCTAGGTGGGTGACTAATTAGCACCAGCACTTCACGGAGGTTAAGCGACTTGCCCATGGCCACAGTGGCATTTCCACAGCCGAACAGGGACGTAAGCCCAAGTCTCCTGATTCCCAGCCCTGGCTTTTAACTCTTTGACTTTTCTTCCTCACATCTGACAACAAAAATCCAAAAAGTCCCCACAGCCCCTCAGTAGATAGCTCATTAGCTTACTGCACAAGACAACTAATTAGCAAGACCAACATACTAAGGAGGAAATCCTCGTCCCACTTCAGTCACTGGTAAAACTCCCACCGACATCAATGAGACTGGGAACTCACCCAAATGCTTGCAGCCCAGTAATTACAATTGGCCCTAAAACCACTGTGTGGGGGTGGGGGCTGGGAGGGATGAAAAGGCGGGGATATGGGTGCACACTGGACAATGGAATAAAAGCTTGGAAAGGTAAAAGATTTCCATTTCAAGGTTCCAAGATAATTATTATAAACAGTTGGGAGGAATTGTTTTTTTTGAATTGTGTGAAATACTTTTACAGTGTCCTTTGAAGACAACGGCATTGGTTTATTCCCATTCATTCAAAATACAGTGAAACCTGTCTTAAGTAGGCACTCAAAAAACAAAATCAGCAGCTTAAGACGTGATCTTTTAATAATGTGGAGCAGAAATGTACTCGTGTGTTTGGGAAGACATTAGGGTGGTCTCTTATAACGGTAATTTGCATAATAAGGGGTTGTCTCTTGTACAGTGTTTCATTTTAACTCCAACTCCCTCATTTAAAAATAACTGGTGCGTTTGACAAGTTATTGTATAAAAATAGCAAAACAAGGCTTTGGATGAGAATCTCTGTTTGGTGACTCCTCTAGCCTCTGTGATTGACCTAGTCTGAAACTATGATAGACATCAGTCTTTTCCAGTCCACGCTGCATGGCACTTTGGCTCTTTTCTATAAAATTCTGCTGGATACTTAGTGAGTCCTTACACCACCTCCCCATTCCAGTCTACCCTCTTACTAGACAGAGTAGAACCTCAGAGTTACGAACTGAGCGGTGAGCCACACCCCTCATTTGGAACCGGAAGTACACAATTAGGCAGCAACAGAGACCAAAAAAAAAAAAAAAAAAAAAGTTTGAAAAAAGATTTGACAAGGTAAGGAAACTGTTTCTGTGATTGTTTCATTTAAATTAAGATGGTTAAAAGCAGCATTTTTCTTCTGCATAGTAATGTTTCAAAGCTGTATTAAGTCAATGTTCAGTTGTAAACTTTTGAACGAACAACCAGAACATTTTGTTCAGAGTTGGGAACAACCTCCATTCCCGAGGTGTTCGTAACTCTGAGGTTGTACTGTAAGCCATCATGGGACTTGGGTGGTGTGGGATAGTAGAGAAGGCAAAGCATGAAGCCTCTACAAAACTTAGTTTTATACTCCAGACTACACCTCAGAGGCCAAGACTTGAGATTTTTCTGTGTCACTTGTCTCCATATTTGGGCGTGAACAAGTTAGTGTTTTGAGGATGGGAGGATGCTGGTGGAGGCGATTCCTTCCCAACCCCTGAGCACTATGCCCTGTAGTATAAGACTTGATTAAGAGGAAATGAAGATCAAATTCTATCCAGTTGTGGGAAATGCTGTTATAGCTGCAAAGGAGCAAAATTCCTCTCTGTGCTCTGTTGAGGTGGCATTGTCCCCACCAAGGAAGGCTGTACCTAGATGGGAACAAACTGTACAATTCAGCAATAGGGGTCAATTCAGCTCTGATTTACTCTGGCATAAACCAGGGCACTTAGATTGTAAGCTCTTTGGGACAGGGGCTTGTTTTTTTTGTTCTATGATTGGACAGTGCCTAGCACAATGGGGTCCTGGGAAACCACTGGGGCTCTGAGGCATTACAGTAATATAAATAAATCAATAAATCACAATATCTGAATTGATACATCCCTGCAGCAGTGTACACTAGAAGGGCTCCTAGGGAGGCTCAGCTGCTGCTCTCATGCCCAGCAGAAAATCTCAAGGGAGGAAGACACAGGAAACCACTATGAGGCACAGCAGGCCTGGCTAGTGCAGGGAAGTTGAATTTGCCTACACCACGAGTCTGGAGTGTACAGTATAGTTCAATGGGGAAGGAGAATCTGAGCTGGAGCGGGCATGAAATGAAACAAAGACTAAGGCCTGAACGGTAGGAGCTGGGGGGGGAGGGGGGATTCTGATGCTTACTTAGAATTCATGCAATTCACTCCAGGGTCTGGGGTGGGAACAAATAAAATCCCTTTAAAGTATGGTTAAGTTAATCTCCATCTCCCTACACTGGAGAATTTTACATAGATTTATACTGACTGGGTTAAATAAGAAGTGTTTGTGAATTTCAAGGTGAGTTTTCAGCTATTAAAGAGGAAGTGGGGAAAACAAAAGAAACATTAGGTATTGGGTTATCAACCTGCCTACCAAGTACCATGCATTTATTCTTTCCAACCAATTTAAAGTCTCTGAACAGGTGGCATGCCTGACTTTATATAGAGCTATTGCTACACTTCTCAAGGGTACCCATTAATTTAATTAGCACCTCACTATGTTCAAAAGACCATATGTGAGAGTTGATCAATTCATAAGTTAACTTGGAGTTACTTAAGAAGCAGACAAGACTACTCTTGACCCAAGGAGCAGAGGACTCCAAAGCATATGCTGAAAGATTCAGCCTCATGTTTTCTCTGGGGATATCAGTTATCTGAAACATTTTGTATAATGTCTCATGAATATTATCTAGACAATTTCAACCCTGAACATTTAACCCTTTCCCTGTGGCTTCAGATTAGAATATAGCAGGTTTATAAGTCTGTTTTTTATTTCTTCTCAGTCCTGATGTGGTGTGTTCCTATCTATTGACTATAGAATAGGACTAGAATTGACTTTGAGAATAAAAACCTGGATATTCATGGAAAGGGTGGGATCATAATGTATGAGCGCAAAACCAGGGCAGGTATTGTGAAATTTCACTTTATTTTTGACACATTCAGTCTTCTGAAGCCGTTAGGTAATGGGGAAAATCCTACAACTTTATGAATTAACTTCAGTAATCAGAACCCAAGTGGCTGCAATAACTTAGAGGATAATGCTTACTGCAAGAAAACTACAATTCTTTATTAACAACTAATCTGTTTATAGCCTATTAAATTACTATACTAGCAGCTGTAGTATGTGGCAGGAGGTAAACAGGAAGATTACTTCTTTTGAGGATACCACAGAGGGAGTAGATGTACGTTCCCTGTTAAAACAGAGCCCAACTGAATCACAGATAATGGTAAAACTGGGCCTTACCTAAACAAAAATCTCGGTCAGCCTTCTTCTTCCCTATCGTAGTTACGTGTCCATTTTCATCGAGAGAGATAATGCGCTTGGAAACAGCACCTGTGTGCACCATTTTGCGAGAGAGTTCATTACTGTTGAGTGGCGCATAGCTTCCTCTCTCCTCTTGCACCCTTGGTGGTTTCTCCTCATCTACTTCCTCCCCTGAATCTGCACTCTTGATACTCAGACGTCGCATACGGGAAACCGAGTCAACCTCTTTCATTCGCACCAAACGATCCATGACTGTTCGGCTAGGGGGAGAGGCAAGTTTGCCTTGTAAGGTCTCAATCACCTTTGAGGTGCTTCTAACTTTCTTTTCCGAGCTTGGAATGATCACGTTTCTTTCAGCAAGTTGATGCGTAACAGACTTGCAAGGCAGGTCTGGATCCTCATCTTGCCTGTTGAGATCCGCACGCTGTTCAAAACCTCGCTCCGTTACCAGAGTTTTAGATCTGGCTTCTAGGTCAGTGCTCTGGTATTCACCAGCCCAAAATGGGAAGTCTCTCTCGCCAACAAAGAGAGAACTTTCTGTCCAGCCACACTTTCGTCTGCCCTCATAAGAGCTGTCTTTTGTTTCTACTTTGTCACGTACTGTTCCCCCTACTGGTAATTCAGGATCCTGGACACTATTTGCAGGGCTGGTGTATTGGTGGAGGCCAGTTCTGTCCCCAGGAATTAGAGACTCCACTGCTACCTCTATACCCAGAATCCTTGCAGCTCTTGCCTGCAGTGACTCATTTTGGGGGATCTCCATTGCATTTGCATTAGAAGAAAAATCAGAGTTGTTAGCACCTGGTTCAGGGTGAATATCCAGTCCCACAGACCTCAAATCTGGCTCAGAATGACCTTGATTTCTATTAGTTAAAGACAATCTTACTATAGATCCTCTCTCTAAAAGTTTATCACTCCTGGGAGTTGCGCTTTTGTTCCGTTTTACAAAATCTAACATATTAGCTATGTAATTTCTATCTTCTTTTGTCTCCTTTAAGTCCGCATGACTGAATGGATTACTCTGATTTGCATTACTTGGACTACTGGACAAAACTCTATTGACTGGGCCTGAACTTGCTTGCTGTTTGTTTGTTCTGTTCTTGGCTTCCTGGTTTCTTGTTTCTGTTATCACACTTCCATCTGCTGGCTTGATTAAACTACCGCTCTCTTTTGCATTCAAGGAGCTTTGTGATCCAACACAGATATGTGGATCATCAGACTTAAGCTCTGTACTCCAACTTTCAGACTTACTTTTAACTCTTCCTTGTTTAAATATAGGAACTTCTGGTACCACAGTTTTTAGCTGCTTACAAGGCCTGAGTTCCTGGGTTGATTCATCCGTTCTGGAGGTCCCTATCTTTGTAGGAACACAGCCCTGCTTTGTTCCCTCACTCTCCATGCCATCTTCACTACTAGTGCTTTCTTCCTGTTCTTGGAGCTCTTTGTTCAAACTTTCTAACTCACTTATTGCATCCCAGGGACGGCGACCAACAGGTTTCAAGAGAAACTGACCAAATAGTTCTTTACTCTTGCAGGGAGCACTTGCTTCGCCCTTGACCACATCACCCCTGGGAATTGTGCCAGTTTCCCTTTCCTGGGTGGGCATGGCTGTGCAGGACCCATAAGGCTGGCTCTGGTATGCCTTTGGTGAATGTACCTGAATTACGGAGGTGGCAGTCCTTGAAAATGCACTATTGCTGGATGGATTGAGGTTCATCTGACCTTTCATATTGTATGTATTCTGCCTACATTTTCTGTCATCGGGGGATAAACCTGCCTCTTCTGACCCAACCAAAGATGCTGTACAGGCTAAGAATTTTGGAGCCATCAGTTTATTATTTGGTTTACTAGGTTTTATACCATGGAAAAATTGTGAGCTTTTAGGGTCTTCAGTGAAACAGGTCTGTGTTTGCTGGTCTTTGTACTGATCACCTGGCCAAGAGCCAGAGTATTTGAGTTCCCTGTGTTTTGTAGGCTGAGTAAATCTGAGGTCATTCATTTGTTTGAACTCCTCTGGTTTCCACAGCTCTTGTTTTTGTAACTCGGTTTTATTGGTCATGCTTCCTGTGAGAGCTTGTAACTCCAAGTCGGTGGAAGACATACTTAAAAGACTTTGTTCTTGCAAAGCTCCACTGTTATCAAATTCATTCTTCTTATCAGGGCTCTGTGTTAAGTTATTGTTCCTATCAGTATCTGGCAGATTTGATTCAGATTTAACTGGGATGGACACCAAACAAAATATAGTTTCATTCATTTTTTTCTTTGAACTCTTTTTGCTCTGCATCCCAGTTCCAGGTTCAAACTTTTTTACTCTAGTAACAGTCTCACAGGTGCTATCCATATGTGGGTTTCTTACAGAAAGGTTGCCCTTTGTGTACTCCTGATTAGTTTCATTTTCAGGGGGGTGATTATCTGTGTCACCACTGTCTCTTTGGTCAGGCAGGGCCCAGTTTTCCTGATCTCCATTGGATGCTGCCAACCACCTGTTGCAATGTGAGGTGCTGTCAGGAGTTCTCTCACCCTTTACAGTATTTAGTAAGTTTGATGGATCCAAAAAGGCACTATTGTATTGTAGTTCGATAGTTCTCTCCTGCAAAGCAGTAGGATTGGTCCTACATGTATTTTCAGTGTGTTTAGTGTTGTTCTGGAGGCTCTCGGGATGTGCTATTTTAATATGCCGTATTCGAGGATCATCAAAAGGAATATACTGAATGGAATTCAGGTAGTCATCAGTGTGCCTGGAATGGCTTTGTTTTCCATGAGGAAGGTGGTCATCTTTGCAGTGTTCACCCCCAGTTTCCAATGTGCTAGTGGAGGGTCGATGGCTGCTGAGGGTCCTCTCTACTGAATGCCGCTGACCGTTGTCAAAGCACAAGTCATAGTTAGGCACTTCATTGAGGGAATGCTGATTCACACTTGGCTGAGGTGGGGACTTGTAAGATGGAGGTGGTATATAGACAGGGGGCTCTAAACCAGAGTCTGGAATGTAAATGTCTTGCTTCAGCTCATTACCTTTGGCTAAATATGAAACGGGCTCATCTATTTGCTGGTGGTCCTGAAAGCCACTGGTTTCTACAGGTGCCCTCATCTGTCGGTGCAGTTCATAGGAAGGGGGTTTAAGGGGTCTGCCATACTTGGGCTTGGCCAGAGGAAGAAGGTGGCTTCCTGTTTCCCTGGGTTTTGTGAATTCCAAAGGCTGTCTGTTTTGGGGACCAGAGGGTGCTTTAGTTCCACTTAGGAAATGATGATTATTCACCAGGGAGGGTATTTCCACACACTTCAGGGTCTCTGGTGAAAGAACTCTTGGCAATGATTGTGATTTCCCTTTGTTATGGGAGCTAAGTACATTGTCTCTCAGGCTCAATGAGTATAGATCTTGAAGCAGTTTCTCTCTATCACCATCAGACATTTGTCTTCCTAATTTTTTAGGTTGTTTCCAGCTTTCTGTTCTTAAACTTTGCCATTTGTAATCACCAGGCACTTTCCAGGTCTCCTGCAAGCCACTTCTTGTCACACTCTCTGTTCCTGCTCCTACCTCCAGCTGACTTTCTTTAGCATGTCTGTACACCTCATGGGGTGGTGCCAATCCTCTCATTTCAGAGTCTCCTTTGTCAGTGTAACCCAGTAATACACTAAAGTCTTGTCCTCTTCTTCTCCAGTAGGCCAGATCTTTATCAGTCTTGGGCCCCGAAGACCATGCTAACAGATGTCTGTCATAAAACCTGCAAAAGAAATGCAGTGTCACAGGCAAGCTATAAAAATGCAGTGTCTTTCCTTTATGGGGAATTTTATTAGAGGGTCAAATGCTGAATTATGCCAATAGGGTTTCCACTCTCAGTTACTATAAATTTATTCACAACCACAGGACATTAAAATCCTCTCTTAGTAATTAACAGAAAAATTTTCTCACAAGCAAGGAAGGTGGCTAAGCTATATACACATGCATGTTAGCATGGCATTTTTTTGATTGGTATGCATAGCTGTTAGAAAACAATTTACACAATGTTGTATGCTGTGCAGATATGTAGAGTCCTATTGAATATATACTATAAAAAGTGAATTGACTATGCTAAACAAGGCTTTGAACCCTAATTTCTGCTCTCAGTTACATCAAAACCTATTGACTTCACCAGGGTTGTACAGGGGTAGCCAAGCATAATAGAATATGACTCTAGATTTAAAAAGAGAACGCAGTAGGGGGAGTTTCTTAACGTAAATTTCTGTAAGAAACAGGATTTTGCATTACAGCACAAGGGTTGAAAGAGAAGATGGTTCTGGTTAATTTGATCTTTTGCGTTTGTTTTAAGGAGTAAGTCTCTCTAGATGTTTCAAATATATCACCATTGTGGTATGAATCATTTTATGTGAATATAGTTCTAATGAGATTTTAACTATCAGGTTAATTTTTGTGTGTAACCTTTTAAATTTGTTTCTAGCAAAACACATCACTGAAACATGAAAAAGGAAGGATAAAACAAAACACTTTAGTTATAGAACTTCAGATTTCTAAATTAAATCCAGCAGACAATATCAGATCCTTCCCATGTTTCGAGACATGGTGTGAAATACTTTACATACTATTCCAAAGGAAAATGGATGGCTTTCTGCATTAAAAGTTTATCTTTTAGTTATACTGTGGTTCTGCTGTTCTTGTAAATAAGGTGTCCAAAAATCTAACTGCCATTATTTTACTATGTAACTGCCACCAGCATAACACAAGAGAGAAAAATCAAAATTGACATAAATAGGACAAGAATGTAGCTGGAACCCAAGAAATTCCTTCCTCTTCCCCCACCCTGATATGTACAGTCTGCTCTTGGTTTCTGCCAAAAAACTAATAATCTTCTCACAAAAAAGGTTTAAATAGATAATAAAATTCAGAATTCCTAATGAAAATGTAGCAATCCACATTCAAGAACACTCTTCAATAATTTTCTTTTACGTATGCAAACTTTATCCTATCAAGCAAAATGTTTAAAACAAATTGGGATAAAGACTATTTTTGTTTTAAGTCTGATGGATTAAAACCCATCGTCTGAACAAAAAGTTCCCCATATAAAATACAATTTGCTATCTGGATCCTGGTCAATATTAAAAGCCTGTATTAATCCATGGGCTATAATGGGACATCTCCTATATTGGAAATTTTACCACAGTTAGGGTGAAAACCACTATATCTTTCAGAATGAGGGAGTCTGCAGCTGACTGTATGCTGTCAGCCTTTGGAGATTACCAAGGCCACCTCTGCTATCTTTATGTTTTCTCATAATGCTATAATGCTGTTGTGTAGCTATTGACTGGAGAGACTGTGAGTGACTGGGTCTAGGGAACAGACAAGCTAGGCATTGTTCTGTGCAAGATCTTTTAAATGATATAAAATATATGGAGAGACCAGTCATACTAAACTATTAAAACACACCAAGTACAAAATCACAAGCAGTATTTATTCAAGACTATGTAACATCAAAACCACTGGAGGGTCTTCTAGGCAGTAAATCAACACTGAGGTTTAGTGATCACTGTTATTGATGATGGATCAGTGAAATGCCCTGGCTATACGAAAGTAGTGTTTGTGAATAACGATTGGGAAAGTGTTACCTAGATTTCTAGTGGGAATCCACCAGAAAACAAAAGAAGAGTCAGCCTTCAATGTACGAAATTATGTGAATGTTTCCCTAGTCATAATGCATGCTTCAGAGGAGAGAAAATCCTGCCTCATTAATAGCGAGAAGGTAACCACATTTTTTTTTACAGAAGTTGTTTAAACAATATTTTGTAGTTATAGTAACTAATGAAGTTCTAAACATGATGTAAAACTCCATACTGAAGATCTACATTATGTCATCATAGCAACTAGAATGCAGAAAGCATGTTTAAAGAAAGGTAATGTTAGGGCTTTTCTAAACCTTGTAACTTATGTATATTAATAAGACAGAGAACATTATTCAGTTTATATCATGTGACTCATAGCAATTAGAGTCAGGAATGAGGATAGTAGGGGCGTGGTATGGAGAAAAATCCTGGGGGGAAAAAAATTAAACTACTGGATTGAAATGTTGTTCGTATTGTTATTTTGGGTAGAAGATAGAAATTTTAAAATCTTTCTCTCCTCCAACCCCCCTGCCAATTTCTCTTGTTAGAAGAAAATAGTAGTAATGTAATAGAAAAGAAGGCCTATGACCCTACTTTGAGTGAAACTTGAGGTGATTTCAGAAGCAGTACCACATCTACCATGACAAGTAAAAGCCTTGCACTAGTTCACATGGAGAAATAATTTTGTATCCAGGATACTGTGGCCATATCCACAGCTGAGAATATAACTGAACAGTTATCATGGAGAGAATGAATAAGAGGCACCTGTTGTGAAAATTTTTGATATCTGGTAACATCACCGCTTACTGTGCAATTCTGCCCTACACTACTTGCAATATAACTGGTGATACTAAAGCAAAAACAAAAAAGTTATATAGTACACCTTCCCTCTGTCAAATCAGCCCTGCTTACCAGGTCTTCAGTTGGGCGTCCCATCACTGAGGCACCAAAAACCACCAGACATTTTTGAAAATGTAGGCCACTATATTTAACAGGATAAATCAGTAATAAGGAAAACTTGTTAGCCAATCCATTAAGAGCTGGAGAGTAGGGTCAGGAGACTTAGATTTTATTCTCCACTCTGCCAGTAGCTTGCAGGGTGGCCTTGTTCGAACCACTTAACCTTCCTGTGGCTCAGTTTCCTCATTTGTAAATTTGCGCTAATACCCAGCTTTGTAAAGCACTTTGAGATCTTTGGATAGAGGTGCTGTGCGAGTTCTAAATATACCTTATTCAGGACCCAATCCTGCAAACACGTACTCCCTGGTGCTCTATTGCTTAGTCCCATAAGCATGGGGGGATCCAGGAGCGTATCATGTTGGATGGTGTTTACAGGATCATGACCTATGTGGTAAAAACTCTTTTCTAGCACAGCTGTTCCTATAGCTCAGGGGATCTCACACTGGGTGTCGGGACCCCTCCGGGGGTCGTGAGGTTCTTACATGGGGGGGTCGTGAGCTGTCAGCCTCCACCCCAAACCCTGCTTTGCTTCCCGCATTTATAATGGTGTTAAATATATTTAAAAGTATTTTTAATTTATAAGGGGGGGGTCACACTCAGAGGCTTGCTATGTGAAAGGGGTCACCAGCACAAAAGTTCGAGAATGACTGCTATAGCTAGTACACGTGTCCTGTCATGCCCATTTGCTATCTCTCTATTTTAAAAAACACACATTGGAAATATTCTGGATCAGAGTTTCTTTGATTACTTCCCTAGATGTGGTGTGAATTAGTTCTATCTGAAATTACACTGATGACAAACTTTTAAACACAATTTTGGAAATTTTTAAACAAAAGAGCAATTGTAGCGGTATTTGAACTCAGTGCCTTTGCCAACACTATCCACTAGGCTGCACGGTCTCTGGTCATCACCCATCAGAATTTACAAGTGTGACTTGGTTACACTAATAACAATCACTACGCAGTATCTGGAGTTCAAAACACTGTATGTCCATTAGTCCTCAACACACCCTATGAACAATATTTTCATGGAAGAGGCCACAGGGCTTTAAATTCACCCCACAACTGTAGGAATTATGTAGTTTTGTACAGGTCTCCATAATCTACTATATCCCAGATTGGGGGCAGTTCTGCTAATCACTAATCAGCAGGGATCCTAGAAATCTGTTCTCTGAGGAAAAACACGGAATCTTTAGTTTGTATATTTTACAGCGAATCTTTAGTTTGTATATTTTGTGAAAAAATAAACACATATCAATCATTAATTAAACTTTACTGAAAATCCCATTATCTCTGAAAGTATCATGCGGGGCTGCCTGCCCGAGCCCCAGCTGCCTCGGAAAACTAAAGTTCAGCATTTCCTTTTAATTGTGGAAAAACGTGGATTTTTAGGTTGTTTTAAATCAGAGAATTTAGTTTTTAATCACGGAAAACTAGAATCCCTGCCAGTGGCGTAGCTAGGACAATCAAATTGGGTAGGCCCCGACTTTCGGGTGGGCGGGCAATGACTGGGGGAGGGTGTAGGGGAAGGGGGAGGAGGAGGGATGGAGAGCCCGCCTTCCCCCACCCCCTCCAGCTGGCCCTTACCGCTCAGCGAGCACCAGAAGATGAGACCGCCCAGAGCACACAGGCTGAGAGGCGTGCCCATGGGGCGGATGGGGCTCGAGCTCCGCGCACCCCTCTCGCCGCCGGCTCGGTGTCTATCCGTCTGGGTTCCTTTCCTGCCGGCACCATGTGCTACTGCCCCAGTCTCCGGCCCCAGCACTAGCCCCGCCCAGACCCACCCCCACTAGGCACGCCCCCGCTTGGGACAACTCACCCCCTCCCAGCCTGTGGATTTGGGGGGCTCTGGCCCCGATTTGGGTGGGCCTGGATGCTAAGTGGGTGAGCCGCAGCCCACCCAGGCCCACCCAAGGCTATGACCCTGATCCATGCTGACCAGATGCAGCTCAGGAGGAAAGAAGCAGCTTCCAAGCCTCACCACTATTGCTTCTACATCCACTGCTCCAATTGGTTAGGGAGGAACCATGTGACCTTAGTTCTACTGTCCATTGCTGAAAATCAGGATGGGGAGAAGAGCTTCAAACCACCAGCTCCCCAGGAAAAGAGCGGTGGAAGCTCCCTAAAAGTGGAGGGCCACCGGTGCCCGAACCATGGCCCCACCCCTGCACCACCCCTTCCCCCAAAGCCCTGCGTCTGTGCTGCCTCTTCCCCCCAAAGACCCCGCCCACTACTCTCTGGCCCCTTGACCCCCCCCCCATTGCTCATCCTTACGGCCAGTAAAAAGTGGGGCCATGGCCCCCAGCCCCAGGAGGAAACCTACTGCTTAACGGAGGCTTCTGGCTCCACCCCATCTCAGTTTTTCAGCCGGTGAAGCCAGCTGCTGCAGTCTGGGAGAGGAAAGGGTCATCTTTCCTTAACATTGTTTTAGGGCTCAAGGGAGGGAGTGCAAAGCATAGGCCCTGAAGGGGGTGGTGCGAAGCATGGGTAAGGGGGAGCAAAGGCCTCATACGGCGGTGCAGAATAGAGGGCACACCAAAAAATCATTTCCAAAGCGGGAGATGGAGAAACAACCAGACACAAGAGAAGGCCGTTGCTTAATGACAGGATGGGGACTGTTTGAGTTTCCATCAGCAGCCAACCTAATTAGCTACCAATGTTAATTAGATCAGTAGCTGAAAGAAAAATAAACTCTGCCCTCTAGAGGTGTTTGAGTGTCCCCATTTGGAAGAGAGAGTGTCTGCAAGATCATCCCCGCAACAAGTGATTGCCGCACAAGCTCTAATATTTCTCTCTGGATGCAAGAGAAATACATTGCAAGACAGAAAACATGGGAGTTTAAACAAAATGTGTTCCATAGACAATAACTGCTGGTGCTTGTAAGATTTCCTAGTAGGGCTGCTGTGTAGTAGGACTCGCTACATATAAAAAGAGAGGTACCTATTTTAATGTAAGGGCCACAACTACGGCAGTTCAGGCCCAATATTTGGGTCCCTATTTTAAGGGGCAAAAGGGAGCTTTTTAAAAATAAGATTTAATATTAAAACTACAGTGTAAGCAGATATGAAATGGGAAATAATGGAGTAGAACCTAAGAGGTTAGGGAGGGACACGCTGAGTGGACACCCAGTCCTGTTTTTTAACTCTACTCTTTTTAAAAGCTACCACAGCCAGTATGCCATATTTTCCCCATCCACACTAGCATTAAAAGACATTCCCCCTACATCTTGGCTATGGTAGACAAGCAAGCTAGTATTTTCTTGTAATGTTGATGTGCCCTTAATGTACTTACCCAGCTCCAAGTCCAACCATAGTTCTCCCTTCCACCTTCCGTATGCTCGGTCCTTGTTTGCCATTTTTCCATCTCTAGTAGTATATTACTTTGCTGCTGCTGACTAGTCTCTCCCCCTCCAACGGAGGGAAAGCCTGCTCTTAAAAGAACCTCTTCCACTGGCTCCCCAGCCTCATTCTTTAAAGACTGCCCCGCCCCCCTCCAAAAAGGGACCAAACAAGCTTGGAACCACACCGAGACCAGAGATCTTTTCGAGCTCCCCGGCTGCCTTACTGCTGCTGCACAGCTGTTGAATTTGCTCCTTTCAGTAATTCTAGCTGGGAAGAAAGAACACTTCTGCACCCAGATCAACGGCTTACAGGTGACCTGCAAGGGGAGGAGATGTGGAGGAGAGAGGAGAAAAGCCTGGCAGCCCGGGGATGCAGCACTGTTGTGCTACTGAAGGCAGCACAGGTGAGTTAGGCCAGCACTGGAGGAGAACGTCCCAAGACGTCCCCATTTGCTCACCCAGGATCTTAACACTTTCCAAACCCTTTGGACAGAGAAAGGTGGGGAGGAAACTGATCCTCTTTTTCTGATAACCACACAGTATATTTTGCCTTGCTTTAAATACCTTCCCAGTCTCTTTCCTTTGTTCATATTTAGCATACAAGCGGCTGCAAAAACTTGACCACTCCATACGCGTTCTAGACAGAGTCCTTCCTGTCCATTTTATTCCAGTTCAAAAGTGCACACACTGTACACGACGGGAGGTGCAGTGGTGCAAGCACATTTTATGAAGTGGTGACAAGAGCTTCCACTGAGTTTGAGCTGTTTTAACAAGAACTTACTGACACCTTCTCATATTTACTCCATGAGAGCTGCCTAAAAATAAAGATTGTGTCCCTCTTTGGTGAGGGAACTCCCCCAGAAGTAGCTGAATTCAGCTGGATACCCACCAGAGATCGACACACACATGAGAAATAAGGAGCTGGGTTCTGTTTTACAACTATTCATTTTCATAAGCAAAATCTTGTGTGTTTTTCCTTTGAAACCCCTTCATTGAACATCCCATTTTAAACATTAAGAATTGCAAAGTTTCATTTGAACAGTTTGCCAGCCCTGGAGACTGGTGTCCTAATTGTCCTCAGAACTGGTGCACATGGGTGTTTTCCTGCCAATGTGACTCAGCCTAGAGCTGGAGAGCTCAGTTCTCAGATTAGAGGGTAGTTCAGTATAAAGCCTCCTCAAACTGCAGTCATTCTACTGAGACAGCCACCAAAGGAACTAATTACAAGCTTTATGTACTCATGTGCTCCGTATGGGCACCTGAGTCCCATCAAGAGCACAGGGTGGGCAGTAGAGTTTTCCCATAGTGCACCATGTTCCTAGGGCTAGAATGTCGACACTGGGGAGTTCCTAGGCACTTTGGGATATGTTTGACTCAGGTCAGTGCATTGCAGTGTGCACTACAGATCCCTTGGTTCAAGCACAGGTCAGAAAATTATTAACCTAGGGTTAAAATGCCCAGGGTTCCTGACACAGGTCAGCTAACTTGAGTCCCACTAACCTTAGGTTTACACTGTAGACATAGGATATGTCTACACAGCAACTAGACACCCGAGGTTGGCCCATGCCAGCTGACCCAGGCTTGCGGGGCTGTTTCATTGCTGTGCAGGGTCCCACAGCTCAGGCTCCAGCCCTAGCCCAGAAGTCTACACAGCAATAAAACAGCCTCGCAGCCTGAGCCCCATGACCCTGAGTCAGCTGGCACAGGCCAGCCGTGGGTGTTGAGTTACTGTGCAGACATATCCTATGTGACCTGAGCTTCTCCTCCCCACCAGCAAGGCCTTTTGTAAAGGGTGTTACTGATTCATTAAACTGCCCCCTCCCCCTTCTCTCTGCTATTTTGATAAAGACTACACGCTACAAAAATGTTAGTGTGCTGCATGTAATATTTCAGTGCATTGCCAGGCACGGAAGCAAACCAATGGCTCACTTATCACAGGTAGAGGGTAAGTGGGGCTGAAGTCATGCTCAGTTGTCTGCCAGAATGAAAGGGAAGAGAGGAGAAAGCCAAGCCATTGCGTGACACAGACACTTACCCCCCTTCTGAAGTATGAAATGTGGACAAACCCCGGCGGTCTGGGTGGTAACTGGGACCAGCATGCCTCCCTTGGCTCCCATGACTGTCTTCACTGCTGCTCAAGTTGCCTTTTGCCAGTGGTTTCTTGTTGTAAATGTAGGCTCCAGAGTCTGTCTCAAACCCATTCAGCGTTCCCCGACTAGTTCTATTCTCTGTAATCTCAGGCTGGTATCCATCATTTCTGTTCTCGTATGAAGCAGAGGGATCTTTGGACAATTTGTATCCGTGAGAAATCAGGAGGTCCTCCACACTGAACATGTTGTGCTGGTTTCACTCACTGCTGTGCCACGAGAAAGCTCTCTCCAGCAGAATCCATCACTGAAAGAGGGAACAGAAGGCTGCTCTAATAAGGAAAGACAACTTAACTCAATCTGCAGGCTACTGGATGCAGAGTTTCATTCTCTCGCCTCAACATAATAAAATACATAAGACTGAAGCGCATGCAGATGCTGATGAATCATGTGTTGACCTTCCCTAGATAATATACCTAAATTTGTTCAGCCAGGGAACAGATGCAGAGCTGCTGCTGCGTCAGTCCATTTGAGTGAAGAATTTGGTGATGATTGCAGCTTTCAGATTTTGATAAGTGAGCTTGGGAAGCTTTGCACTGGAGATAAGCAAACCCTTGAGAAAGGCATTTTCTCCAAAAATGGTTTTTACTCTGATCAGGTGGAGCTGTGCTTTATGCTGGGTGGGGGGTTAGATTGCAGGGCAGCACAGCCTCCTCCTGGAGCCCTGCAAATTCTAGCAAAATTAGCTGGTGAACAAGCACAAAAATAATGCATAGCAACAAGAAAAGAGAAAAAGTTTATTATGTTAGCCCATAAAGGCACTGCTGACGTCCTGCTGTGCCCCCAATTAGACTCCCTTGTTTACAGTCTTTAAAGGTTGCTTTTCGGGGAGATTTCTTTATTGCCTAGGTGGGCCTGTTGAAATCTGTAATCAGCTAATAGGTGTAATACAAATCAAAGAAGCCAAGAAAACTGCATCTGAAGCCATGTGTGTTGTTGCACAATGATTTCCAAAGCAAATGGAATCAATCCAAAGTTAAAAGATTTTTCCTCCTATCTGCCAGCCCTACAGACTCAGCCGGAGTTCTTTGCTGATTGCACATTGTTATTAGTAATAGGTTCTGCAGATCAAATTAGTTGATCTGTAACAGTTTCTCTTGGCTAGCTCACCCTTGTAACCTACTATCTATTCTACTCTTCTAGCTTGTTATATTTATGGGGTACCAAGTCTTCAATGGTTTGGAACTTGGTAAACACTTCTGTAGATGAATAGATTCCAGCGCACCATCTCTTAGCTGTGCTGTTCTGCCACATCACTGAAGTGGGTGGATGAGACTTGAAATACGCCTAGGGAGCAAAAACATTGAGTAAGACACTCAATAGGACACTTAATAGGGGGCTTGTATAACATGCTCAGTGTTACATGTCCCCAGTAGTGGCATGTCTGCATAAAGAATAAGAACCTACTATTTCTAGAAGCTAATGAAGTTTCTCCTTCAGCTGAAGTGCTAGAGGCCAGTGCTTTGGTGCATGAACTCCTGGGTTCTGTCACCAAGGCTGATCTTTACAAAGAGTCTCTACTCTGTGCTAAAGAAGGAACTTCATTCACTGTTATCAATATGAGGCACTTTATATGGAGTAGGCACTAAAGGGGGACTTGACACATTTACTTGGTGTGTTCCAGAAGTCAGTTTTCAGCACAGAACCAAACTTTAAACAGTGCCTGCGCAGACCATGTAATTGTTACTTCAGGGTTTGAAAATAACTCCTTTCTAAACCGGTTTAGAATCTACACCAGTCTCTGCATAGAGCCTATAGAATCTGTCCCCTGTCCCCTCTATATGTGGTATTGTACACTTTAAAGAAATAAAACACTTCCCAGTAACATTTGTGGAGTGGTGGTTTTTTGTTTGGTTGGTTGTTTTTTGGGGGGCCAAAACAGGGCTCCTCAAACCTACTAAAAGCTACACTGTACTAGAAGAGTAGAATGATCAGCAGATAGTCACAGGGATAAAAAAGCCAGCCAAGAGGTACTAGTCAAATTAATGGAAGAAAGGAGTGGAATCCCTTTCTTTAAAGGAAAAGATGGTTTTGTTGTTTATTTTTAAACACTTCAATAACAGGAGGTGGGGCCAGATCAGGTCAACTCAAATGATTTCTCTATTCCTAATTGTTTCTAGAACACAAAGACCTGGACTTGTGAGAGGAGGTAAAATCACAGAAGACAGAACAGCTGGCTGCTAGAGCTATTCAACCTCTAAAGAGAAAAAGATCCACTGTGACTGCATAAACAATAGAATGCCCACTGGACAGCGCACAGGTGCAAGGAAGAAATGTGCTTTTCCTGTTATTATTGCTTGGGGGTCAATATTAACCCTTTCTCTCCTACTGCTGTGGATAGTGGCCAAGTGAAAACAATATTTGTCAGGGGTTGAAGGAGGCAATATGCAGAGAGAGAAACAGGCAATTTAGAAATAGACAAAACCTTTGGACCATGGGTCTTATTCTGATCTCACTTTCAATACTGAGAGTCATGAGTAACTTCAGTGAAATCAGTGGAGTTACACCTTAGGAAAAACCCAGTGGTAGCTGGCGCCCAAAATAACCCTTCAAGGTTAATCATATTTGAAAATAAAAAACTGGGGTAGCGTTGGGGAGGTGTTATAGGAAAGTCCTTTGGTGGGGATATGGGGAAGTGGAGCGGGGGGAGAAGGGGGATGCCCTCTCCCACATCAGTGCCCTGCTCTTCAGAGTGAAAAACTGAGACACTTCACCATAAAGGGCAGGGTGGGTGAACACAGTTCTCTCCTCATCACAACCTCTCTCTCTCCCTCCCTCCCCTCCTAGATAGGGTAGAGCTATCATCTCCCTGCTGTCTCCCCATTCCCACACTCACCACTAAGTCACCCCCATCCTCATTCACTAAAGGATTTAATTGCCTCCTGAACTCAACTCTGTAACCCAGCACATCCTACTCCTAGCTCAGAACCTCCCCAAGCCTTCCCAGCTTCCTCCAACCCAACCAGTGCAGACCCTGCCCCCCACGATGGTTGCCACCTCTGAAGTACAAAAAACCAGGACAACTGGGATGATTTTGAGAGCCCATAAAACTAGACAGCCGGCTGTGTGTATTGAGCATTTCCCAGGACAGCTACTTCAGAAAAAGGGACGATCCTGGGAAAACGTGGCCAGGTGGCAACCCTACCCTCATACCTATCCAAAAGCCCTTCCACTGCCTACCTAACCTCTCCACATCTCAGAACCAGCCCTTCAGCTCTGAAACCTTTCCCCCACCATCCATCTCTCTCTCTCTCTCTCTCTCACACACACACACACGTCAGAAAACTCCTCTGCAAGCACAGAACCTGCCTCCCTCCTACCAGACATCCACCAACAACTAACTCAGGACTACGCTACACCCACCTGCCCACCCACATGTACACTGCTGGTCCTGGAGAAGTAGAAGCAGCAGGGAAGGACTGTGGCTGCAGGTAGCCCTATACTCCACATCAAGAGAGAACTGGTTCTACAGGAACCAGTATTCCATGCTTTGTGCCTCCCCCTTTGCTGCCTTGGAGTCTATGGGCTTCAGAACCAGGACGACTCAGGGCAGCCACCTATATGACATCCCGAATCCAGAGACTGCAGAAGCTTCAGCCTCCCCCCAGTGGCAGTCAATGGCACTGCACACTGCAGTACCTCAGCTGTGCTACACAGCTCTGTCTCCAGCATAGCTGACATTATTGATAGGGCTTAGTTCCATTAGCTCCCAGTAAGGCTAGTATAAATGAAGTCAGGATAGATTCAGAATGGAAGACAGTGCAATGGGTTGAGTGCTAGACTGTGACTTGGGAGACCTCAGTTCAATTTCTTCCTCTGACACACAGCTTCTGTGTGACCTGGGGCAAGTCCCTTGCTTGTTCTGTTCCTCAGATGTCCATCATAAAATGGGGTTAGCAGCACTTCCCTCCTTCACAGCGGTATTGTGAGGATAAATACGTTAGAGATATTATAGGTACTTATATTGCTCCCATTGCTAAAACATAGAAAAGATCCAGCCCCATGTACACATACTGTACATATTGGGAATTTTCCTAGTGTTTCAAAGCCAAGGTTTCTACTTTTCAGGTGGGAGGCCAGTTCCTTTTACTAGGAGTAAGTGGATGAAATTAAGAAAAGGAAGATGTAAGTTGAATATGAGGAAACATTCCTGACTGCAAGATCTCTAATCCTGTAGAACAGTTTCTAATAGAAAGGGGTGGAAGCCCTGATCATTTTTGGTCCTGGTCTACACTATGAGTTTAGGTCAAATTTAGCAGCGTTAAATCGAATTAACCCTGCACCCGTCCACACAATGAAGCCATTTATTTCAAAATAAAGGGCTCTTAAAATCGATTTCTGTACTCCTCCCCGACGAGGGGAGTAGCGCCGAAATTGACATTGCCCTTTCGAATTAGGGTTAGTGGGGCCGCAATTTGAAGGTATTGGCCTCCGGGAGCTATCCCACAGTGCACCATTGTGACCGCTCTGGACAGCGATCTGAACTCGGATGCACTGGCCAGGTAGACAGGAAAAGCCCCACGAACTTTTGAATTTCATTTCCTGTTTGCCCAGCGTGGACAGCACAGATGACCACGCAGAGCTCATCAGCACAAGTAACCACGCAGTCCGAGAATCGAAAAAGGAGCATCAGCATAGACCATATGGGAGGTATTGGATCTGATCGCTATATAGGGAGAGGATTCCGTGCTAGCAGAACTACGTTCCAAAAGATGAAATGCCAAAACATTTGAAAAAATCTCCAAGGGCACGATGGAGAGAGGCCACAATAGGGACTCATATCAGTGCCGCGTGAAAGTTAAGGAGCTCAGACAAGCCTACCAGAAAACCAAAGAAGCAAACGGAAGGTCCGGGGCAGAGCCGCAGACATGCCACTTCTATGCTGAGCTGCATGCAATTCTAGGGGGGGGCCGCCACCACTACCCCACCTCTGACCGTGGATTCCGAGGAGGGGGTAATCTCAGCCATGCCTGAGGATTCTGCGGATGGGGAAGATGAGGAGGAGGAGGAGGAGGACGAGCTTGCGGAGAGCACACAGCACTCCATTCTCCCCAACAGCCAGGATCTTTTTCTCAGCCTGACTGAAGTACCCTCCCAACCCTCCGAAGGCAGTATCCCAGACCATGAAGCCATGGAAGGGACCTCTGGTGCGTGTACCTTTGTAAATATAAAACATGGTTTAAAAGCAAGCATTTTTTAATGATTAATTTGCCCTGAGGACTTGGGATGCATTCGCAGCCAGTACAGACTACTGGAAAAGTCTGTTAACGTGTCTGGGGATGGAGCGGAAATCCTCCAGGGACATCTTCATGAAGCTCTCCTGGAGGTACTCCAAAAGCCTTTGCAGAAGTTTTCTGGGCAGTGCAGCCTTATTCCATCCTCCATGGTAGGACACTTGACCACGCCATGCTAGTAGCAAGTACTGGTATCATTGCATGACAAAGCCTGGCAGCGTATGGTCCCAGTGTTTGCTGGCATTCAAGCAACATCCGTTCTTTATCTCACGGTGTTATCCTCAGGAGAGTGATATTGTTCATGGTAACCTGGTTGAAACACGGGAATTTAATTAAGGGGACAGAGGTGGCCATTCCTACTGGGCTGTTTGCCTGTGGCTGAAAAGAAATCCTTCCCTGCAATTAGCCAAGTGGGGGGAGGGGGCGCATTGGCGCTGAGCTTTTCGCGTTTGGCTAGCAGGGATCTTCCCTGATACCAGCGACGCGGTGGGGGGAGGGATAAAGCGATCATCCCAGAGAATTGGATGGGGGGGGGTGTTAGTTTGGTTTCTGCTGCTGCACATTAACAGGAAAACCGCAGCACTCAACGGGCTTTGCTTGGTATGTGGGAAAGGGAGGGCGCTGCTTTTATGAAGGCTGCAGAAGCCGAAAGACAATGGCTTACCATGGCCACATTCAAGCCGAATTCTGTTGCCTGGACCTGCGTCTGTGATCTCTAACACCAAAGCCGCAGGCACTCAATATTAAGATGCAAAATGCGACCTTGTGCCGAAATCACATGTGCTATGTAATGTGAATAGTATTGTTCACTGTGAAAGAGTATAAGCATTGTTCTGTAAAATGTATCTTTTTAAATACTTCTCTACCTTTTTTCCCTCCCTCCCGCAGCTGCAAATTTTTCAAGCCTCCCTCCTCCGTCCCGAAGGCTATCTCAGATAAGGTGGTGAAAAAAACGGACGCGAGACAAAATGTTCTCTGAAATCATGGAATCAACCCGCAATGAAAGAGCTCATCTGAATGAGTGGAAGGACATGGTATCAAAGTACAGAAAAG